GGCCCCACCTGAGCCGAGCAGCGCTGCCGCCCGTCGGGCGCCTTTGGCAGGAGGCCTGTCCGCCCGCCGTCGCCCGTCCGCGGCCAGGGCTGGCGGGGCGGACAGGGCGCCTCGGGGACAGGGCCTGGCGGGGGACAGGGCCTGGGGGGGGACAGGGCCTGGCGGGGGGACAGGGCCTGGTAGGAGGACAGGGCCCGGCGGGGGGACAGGGCCTGGTAGGGGGACAGGGCCCGGCAGGGGGGACAGGGCCTGGTAGGAGGACAGGGCCCGGCGGGGGGACAGGGCCTGGTAGGGGACAGGGCCTGGCGCGGTGAAGGGGCAGCCCGGAAAGCCCCGCGGCCGGGCCCACCTCCCCAAGTGAAGGCGCCCGCGCAGCGCCGACCGAGGCTTCCGGGAAGCGTGGCGGTGGCAGGCAGGGAGCCGGCGCGCAGGGTCCAGGGAAGCGGAAGCGTGGCGGTGGCAGGGCAGGGAGCTGGCGCGCAGGGTCCCAGGGAAGCGGAAGCGTGGCGGTGGCGGGGCAGGGAGCTGGCGCGCAGGGTCCAGGGAAGCGGAAGCGTGGCGGTGGCGGGGCAGGGAGCCGGGCACAGGGTCCAGGGAAGCGGAAGCGTGGCGGTGGCAGGGCAGGGAGCTGGCGCGCAGGGTCCAGGGAAGCGGAAGTGTGGCGGTGGCAGGGCAGGGAGCCCGCGCGCAGGGTCCAGGGAAGCGGAAGCGTGGCGGTGGCAGGGCAGGGAGCCCGCGCGCAGGGTCCAGGGAAGCGGAAGCGTGGCGGTGGCAGGGCAGGGAGCCGGCGCGCAGGGTCCAGGGAAGCGGAAACGTGGCGGTGGCAGGGCAGGGAGCTGGCGCGCAGGGTCCAGGGAAGCGGAAGCGTGGCGGTGGCAGGGCAGGGAGGCGGCGCGCAGGGTCCCAGGGAAGCGGAAGCGTGGCGGTGGCAGGGCAGGGAGGCGGCGCGCAGGGTCCAGGGAAGCGGAAGCGTGGCGGTGGCAGGGCAGGGAGCCGGCGCGCAGGGTCCAGGGAAGCGGAAGCGTGGCGGTGGCAGGCAGGGAGCCGGCGCGCAGGGTCCAGGGAAGCGGAAGCGTGGCGGTGGCAGGGCAGGGAGCTGGCGCGCAGGGTCCAGGGAAGCGGAAGCGTGGCGATGGCGGGGCAGGAGCCGGGCACAGGGTCAGGGAAGCGGAAAGGTGGCGGTGGCGGGGCAGGGAGGCCGGCACAGGGTCGCAGGGAAAGCGGAACGTGGGTGGCGGGGCAGGGAGCCGGGCACAGGGATCCAGGGAAGCGGAAGCGTGGCGTGCAGGGCAGGAGCCGGGCACCAGGGTCCAGTGGAAGCCGGAGCGTGCGTGGCAGGGCAGGGAAAGCAGGGCACGGAGGTCGCTGAGGGAACGGCAAGCGTGGCGGTGGGAGGCAGGGAGCCGGGGGAAGAGCGCGGGCCTGCAGGAGCAGGACCCGGCCGGAGCCCGAGCTGCCCCGCCACCGCCCAGGCCCAGGGCGGATCAGGCGGAAACTGGGCATTTTAGTTTTTCAGAACTCTTACACGTTTTTCCAAAAATGAAAGGAGAAAGTAATATTAATGTAGACAAATGAAGTAAAAGTAAATATTAATGTAGAGAAGCAAAGTAAGATTCATGCTGCTTTGAAAAGAGAGATAGTTTTATATTTTACTTATCATTTACAACATCTAAGCTAGTGCTGGTAAATAACGAATAGAGGATACAACACAACAGGGTGTGACAGAGCAGCCACAAGAAATCACAAGAGGCTCAAAAAAATAACATTCCAAGTAAAAATCCACTTCTTCCTTTCCCAACTTTTTAAAAATATTGCCATCAACACCCTACATATACTGCAATAATCGAGCGCGGTAGAGCACTGAGTTTTAGTGTATTTGTCTGACATAATGGTCTGCACTGCAGAGGACAGATTTTCAGAGCTGTCACTTGGAAAATGGCCATACTGTGCTTTTTCTTCAGCTTTTTAACCTTGAAAAGTAAAAGTAACAAACTCTCGTGGGTTTCTAAAGCATTGCTATCAAATGGGTCACGCTTGTCTTGTACAGACGCCCTTGGATCCCCCAGGGACAAGGGGCAAAGGCGACCGGGAGGGCCGGGCGGACCTGGCCGGGCAGGCGGGGCTCTCACCTGGCTTGGAGCCGACGTCGGGCGGGATGTGCGGCGGGTGCGACCCTGGAGAAAAGTGCTCGTCGCTGTAGGTGATGAGGGGCGTGAGGGGGTGGACCGCGTGGGACGGCTGCACCACGGGCACTTTATTGGACTGCAAAGGAACCGAGAGGTCGACAGTTACTGCGGGTGCCCAGCTCTTACGTCCTCGCTGAGAAAAAATCACACGAGAGCAGTAAGTAGTTGCCAACAGAACCCAACAATCACTCCCAACCGGGGCGACATCTCCAGACTCTTCCTGTGGGGCGCAGATCCCCAGCGCCAGAGCGACCCGCCCAGAGACCGTCAGCTGCTCACCAGGGCACCTCTGGACACCTGCCCGGCTGTATTCTGTGTGACGGGTCTGTGCATACAGAGCCACAGTCCCTTTTAGGTTATCTCCTCAGGTTAAGCTCAATAAAGAGTTACTGGAATAAAATTCAGTAATGCTTTATAAGCTTTTAATTCGTTATGTATGTCTGGCATCAAAAAAAGGGCACTCAATAAAAAATTGTCCAGTGAATAAATTAATAAATACTGCCAATTTGAAGGGCAAATTTTTAAACAACGCAATACATATAAATTTGGGGCACTGAGATATCCCCTCGGTTTGTAGAATTTGTAATTCTACAGTTGTACATCTTTAAGAATCATATGGTTTTTTACATTTCCTAGCTCTGTCAGTCAAACATGACTATCTGCTATGCCTCAGGCCCCGGCCAGTCACTGAGTCTTCTGCTTCTTTGGTTTTCAGAGGCATTAATTGATAAAAGGGAATTTCCAATCTTGAGTTTAAGTGTATAACATGAAATATTGCTTTCAGGAGTTAATTATTAACATTTTATGTTTTAATGTGCTTTATGTATCTTATATTCTGTTTACAAACAAATTTTATTATTTATTAATAATTTAGAAGTCCAAAACTATATAACAACACTTTTTATGAGTTCAGGTAACCTACTTGGACTTTGTCCATTTGAAACCGTGCTCATTCTGACTGCAGACAACAAAGCTGAAGTCATTTTTTACTCCCCAACAAAGTGCGACTAAGCAAATGAGTAATATAAGCAAGACTCAGGCAGGTTCAGCCTAAATTAGAGGGATCACTTGATTTATTTATTACTGACATATCGTGGGTGTACATATTTTGGGGGTACATGTGATCTTTTGAGACATATATACAATATGTAATGTCCAAATCAGGATAACTGGGCTATCCATTGCCTCAAACATTTATCTGTTCTGTCTTGAGAATATTATGATTCTTCTCTTCTAGGTATTTGAAATATACAACAAATTACTGTTAACTATAATTCCCCTACTGTGCTGGGACCTTACTAGATCTTATTCCTTCCAGGTAACTGTGCTTTTATACCCATTAACTAACTTCTCTAGGGGGATCATTTGAAAGAGACTCCATAACCCTCCTCCCCCAAAAAGAAAGGAAACACAATTATATGCACATAAAGATGTTTGTTTCTGATTTTAAACCTATCTATTAATACTAATTAAAGCAGTTTCAGAAACACCTCTATTTAGAAACACTATAGTAATGAGTAACATGAATTTAAGAGACATATAATGAATTCACTAGCTCAGACATGCTTTCACCATAATTAGTTTGAATTAGTGAGATTTTACTGTACTGTCAGCTAAAATGCATGTGAAATCAGTTTCTTCCAGAAGCACATATTCATATTTTTTAAAAATTTGAGGAATTGCCTGAAACTGCACAATGTGAACTGCTTAAAACATCAACCCACGTCGGAATGGTTGAGGGCTCTCGTAACACACTTGTGTACGGTGATTATACCTATGACACACACTGATTTCGAATTTGATGGGTTTTTTTTTTTTTTTTTTTACAAATTAGGCACAAAAAGTACATGGCTCCATCCAAAGAAACTTATGGGGGGAAAAGCCAAAGGGGAGAAAAAAATCATACTTTTTTTTGATGATGATAAAATTCCATACTAGATTTTCCCCTATTTTATAATTATCAGTTCCTCTCTAATGGCAGAACTTGTGTAGCTCATACAGCCCTTGGCGACTATTAAATAGAGCACCACCCGATTTTCCTCTATACATCTCAGCACAAACATCTATACATGTAAATGTGTGACAAAAAGTCTTTTACTAATTTTTAAGTATTAATGACACAGTTTGCCAAATACAAAGAATGAGCTTCTTAAATACAAGGAATTTAGAATGCTAGAAGGAGTGGAGGTAGACAGACACAGAGATAAGAGGATATTATTATAAAACCTTTTAAAAATGAAAACAAAAATCTCAACACCCAAATGTTAAAATGAATATCTTTCAACTATATTTAAAATGAATATATTTCAACTATACTTTAGAATAACTGCTTTGAGTTTCATTTTGAAAGTCTCATAAAAAGTGTAATTGCCAAACAATCTACAAAGATATTTTCTTAGGGTAGTTATAAAGAGCAAGCATTGCAGCAATTTTCTAGAAAAACATATATATGTGTATCTATATGCATACATATATAAACACACACACACACACACACACATATATTTTTGGCATGCCCTTTTTTTCCAGAGCATCATCTTAAGGAACTTGCATTAGCAGGCAGCATCTTCTTAATGTCTGACCTATCCCTCCAGTCATATTGCTCAGAGTCTGGTGCCATGAATTTTTGCTAAATTATGCTGTCCTGCTCTCCTCTTAATTTTACGGTTTTCAACACAGATTTGCTTTCCTGTGGGAAGGAGATAAGAAGCTGAGGATTTTAATTTAAGCTCTGGCCTTGTCTTATATTTTGCAAGATGGATAGGGAAAGCAGTACCAGTAGGTATGTTAAAGCCAACAAAGATTATGTCCATTTTTGTGGCCAAATAATAAAAAGTAATATGAAGTCTCAATAATGTGTGAGCAGAATCCTAAAGGGTTATACTTTGCCTCCCGACAACCGTCTCCACCACATAGATAAACAGAACAAAGTGGATCCAATCCACATTGCAGATTCTCCCTCTTGGCACACTGCCATCCTGGTCAGTTGTCTTCAGCCCTGAGATCTGTGAGTTTCCTCTGATTTCAGGACTCGCTGTCCTTTTGATGCTCTATGCATACACAAGGTCAGAACCCTGGCACTCCCACTTTGGTTACAATTTTAAAACTGACAGAATAACCATTCTTAATTTTATCCTGCTAATCTCCTACTAACAGTGTGGTGTATTTTCATGTGGGGAGTAGGCAGGGGAACAATAATCAACTGACTACCTAAGTCTCTGCAGACAAATTCACGTACCTACATCATATGCACAGCTATACAGGTGTGTGTGTGTGTGTGTGTGTATGGGTTATTTATTAAGCATCTGAAATGTTCCAAGCACTATTCTAGCACCAATAACCAACACACAGGTAAGGATCCTGATTCTCATGCAGCCGACCTTCTAGGGGTCTGGAAGCGGGGACAAGCGACAGGGGGTGGGTACTGGAAAGAAAGAATATATTAAAAAAAAAAAGACAAAATCTGAAAAGATGCCATTAGGTACTATGAAGAAAATGAACCAGGTATCAGGAGAGACACTATGTGTCTAATCCTATGCTTTTGTATCATGTTAAAGCTGTAGGAACCCTAAAGTACCTTTTGTCCAAGCTCCTTATTTTCTAAGACTGGAAGCTGAGACACAGGGGTCACCAGGGAGAGGGTGGTCAAGCCAGGGCTACCGTGGGTACTTGTGACAGTACCACCCCACTCACTGCACAACTCCAGTAACACTGGGTCACTGCGACGCAATGGGAGTGGAGCCACTGGGCTGCCCACTACGTGGCATTGAGTAGTAGCAAAATGCAACACTTTGCGATCTTATTCTGTGCTGGGCACTACACATGGCCACCTCACTTAACAGAACCCGAGTCTCCCGGTTCCTACTCAGAGCTTTCCCACTACGCATCTCACTGTACGGGACGGAGGAGCGAGGAAGGGTAAAAATCACACTGAATCTTTTTCATTCACAGGGACAGTCAGGTAAGTCTTAACTTCCAGTGGATTGCCAGGCATTCCCAAGGCGTGCCCTCTACTGTGTTATCGCAGGGTGAAAGGACGTGTGGTCACTCCAACTCTGTGATGCCTGGCTGCCCTAGGTGCCTGGCCCACCAAGTTCTCCACCCTGCTCCAGAGGATCGGCGTCTGAAGCTCAGGTGGCAGTAAGTGGCTGAGTAAGGCCTAAGACCGTGGTTCCCGATTCCCATTCTCTAACCTCAAGTAGGTGACCGATGGGTGAGCCAAGGAAAGGTGACAAAGATGGAAAAAGCGGGAATGGAAAAAATGGTAGAAAATAATCAAGGGTGATTCTGAAGACAGCTCTCCCGCATACACTCGGCACTCAAACACAGCTGTGCAGGGGAAGCCTGAACTCCCTTCCTGAATTGGAGAGGTCCCCGCCGGGCCATCCTAACCGGCACACCCCGTCATCACAGCAGGCAACACTCACCAAGTCCTCGCTGTGTGCTGGGCACCCTACCCTCACGACACCCTTCCAGGTCTTCTGCGGACGAGGACCCCGCGTGGAGAAGCGAAGTCACTTCCCGAGGGCCCCATAGCTAGTGAGTGGCAACGCCAGGATCCAAATGCAGAAGTCTGGCTCTAGCGGCAAGTTCATTACCAGCACACCACGTGGCCTCTCCGAGAGCCGGGTTCATAAAATCCCGGACCCCAGTCGACCATCTGGCCACACCTGACTGCACGTGACATCTACGGGATGGCTGTGTGGCCTCCGTGCCCGGTGCCCCGGCCGCAACATTCCGAGGGAGCTCGGCTGGCCGCCACCCAGGCTGGTCCCTGCAGGTGGGGACCACTTGGGCATCACAGCCCACGAAACCCACACCTCCTGCGGGCACGGAGTGGGTGCCACTTAGGGAACCGGAGAGCCACCGCCGGAGCAGCATTCCCAGAAATGACCCACTCGCCACCGGCAGCAGCCAAGGCGTGGGAAGTCGTCAGCCTCCAAGGATGTGGTTCTGGGAGGGGCTGGAAAAGGGTCGACTCCCAGATGGCCGAGTCCCCGCCGGCCGGCAAGTGGGGCAGTTGGGGACAGACCCACCGGGCTGCGGCCGGCCGCGCACCCATCGACAGCCCTCTCG